TAACAACAACACTAGATTAAATCTTCTAAAGAACATTAGATATAGCTTGCTCTTTAGGCTCTTAAATAAGACTTAAAACTCTCCTTACAACACGCTACAGCTATCTATAATGTCTCTTACATAACACTAAGTAATTAACGCGCTAGACAGCCTTTACAAGTAGAATGCTAGCCTAAATTAAGGAATCTAACTAAGCTTAAAAAAAAGGTAGTTGTTAAGTATATACTTAAGCTTATTACACATAGATTTCTTCTTAGGCTTATAGCTATAGCTAATATAGCTAATTCCTTACCTATAAAGCGTAATCTAGGCTAGGTTAGCTTAAACTAGACTAGTATATAAGTTAAGCACTACTCTAAGTTTATAATAAAGTTTAATTATAAGTATAATTATAAAAAAGCGCTTTATAAGAATCTAAAGGTTATCTAAGACTAGTTTTGCCTAGTAGCTAATATAAAAGCTAAGTATAGTATCTAGGATAAAAATAAGTATAACTTTAACAAGTTAGGCTTTATAATAGGCTAGATATTAACTAGAGTAGTTATTATAGCTTTAGAGAGATAAAAACAGCTAAAGGTAATATAGTAAAGTAATAAAAAGTAGATAATAGTTATCTAAAGTATTAACATAATAAAGTAGGCTATAAAATTATAAAGCTTTAAGCAGTAAATAAAGCTACTACATAACATAAATTATATAAAAAAAAGCAGATTTAGGCAAAAAAAACTTTAATAGTTAAAAATAAAGCTTATCTAACTACTTTAAAGAAGTTTAGAGCGCGTAGTAATAGAAAGAAGCTAAAGACGCAGGTGTGCGCTAAAGAAGGTAAGCTAAGTTAAAGGTAATATAGGTAGTGCAATTAGACTAGGCATAACTTGTGTATATATAAGTAAGTAGTAGAAGTAGACTTTAAATAATATCTTGTGTTATATTACTTTATACAGGGCTAAAGTAGGCTGTTTTGCAAGAGAATAGGGTGGTTTTAGTAGGGGCTTAGTAAAAGTGGCCGGCCAACCTGTGTGGCCAGCCAACCTGTTAGGTACGTTAATGCTTATACGCAAACCTTTGTGCGTAAATATATAGATATTTCCCTTTTCCTCTGTACAGAAGAGAAAAGACAAGCAATAACTAGAAACCTGTTGCCTACTATACCTACTCTGTACGCTGTGCACACTGTACACTACTCTTACTCTTGCTACTTAAGTGCTTATACTATAAGCAGCTAGCTGAAAGAGCCTATTTAACACAAACTAACATTAGATTAAAAGACTAACTATATAAACTAGAAACTAAGTCTATGTCTCTTGTAAAGATAGGATAGTAGGTAGCACGGATAGCACTGAGAGCAAGCTTTCGGAGAAAGATAGGAGTGTATTGTAAGAGAGACGAATCGCTGCTAAGCCTTACTTGTTAGGATTCATGCTTATATACGAAGCACAGGTCATGTGACCTCCAAACAGGTCAGGGGAGGCCATACTAGCCCGTTCTAGGACATCCGGCCTTACATCTCTATACACCTACAGGACAAAAGTTTGGTTCGCTAAGCCACTAGCACTATGTTTCACGATGCGACGCGTCTTCAACTATTAACTGCACAACTATGCAGCGACGTTCTTTTAGGCAGAAAATAAGCGCAAATTGTGTAAGGAAAGGTAAATTATCTATAAAAGCTTAGGATTTAATTATTTTAAAGTAGAAGGCTAGCGCAGCTGCTACAGAGTTAGCTAATAAATTTAGGTGCACAACAAAGTGCATACACAACACTATTAATTAATACTTTAAAATAGGCACTAACTAATTACGCTCTTACTCTAGACAGCTACTAAAGCTTATGTGTAAGAGCATTTAGCAGCTTTATTAATACTCTTGAAAAAGTCTAAAGATTAAATACTTAAATCTTTTTTAAAAGGCTAGCCTTACTAGGCGCATTTTAAGAAAGACTGCCTATAAGGCATTAAGAAATAAAAGATTAAAAAAGTTTAGGTGTAAAAGAAAGCCTCTTATAACTTAAGTTACAGCAGCGCTGCGTTGCAACTGTAACGATTCTCATGAATCGTTCTATCTCGGGCGGCCCGGAACCTCCGGAAGGCCCCTGTATCTGCCCCGACCCTAACCTGGCCCTGACCCCTGCTGTTACCTCTATTCCCTTATGTATTTAGTTGCACCTTGCCTCTGTAGCTAGCTTAGTAGTTTTCTAATATCCTTTGTACAAGGCCTATAGGTGTTAATAGAAATTCCTAGGTTCTAAGTCCCCACGCACTTCTATATGCCTCTAAGTGGATTCCCACCGCATTTAGACCTATTGTCTTGCCTGTGCTGTTACAGCAACTAGGAGAGAAGGTAGAGAAGCTTTAACTTTTAAAGATAGACTGTACACTTCTCTAATAAGTGCTCTGTTTAGCTTAAATCTAGTGCTAATTAACAGTGGGCATTTAGGTACTTATATAAAAAATAGAGACTCAAGATAATAAAAAAGCATTCTATAAGCAGACCTTACTAATAGATAGTGTAGGCCTTAATTTAGATTAATAAAAGAAGTCGCGTATAAAGAAGCCTACTTATTATTATAAAGTAAGACCCTAACGCGCTGCGCAGAGGATACTTAGCGCGCAGCTATACTTAAGCGCTAGAGGAAGGCCTTCTACGCAACTATTATTGTAGGGATTAGTTTCTACAGGATAATTCGTAAATCTATACTGTTATTTTTACGCGCAAGTAGATAGCTAGGCATGAAATTAATGTTATTAACTTTCTACCTTACTTACTAGACCTTAACCCTATTAAGCATATATAGTAGTAGCTAAAAAGAACTGTACATTAGCTGCACCTTAAGTTTAACACTCTTAGACACTCTGCAGAAGAGTAGAAGAGGTTCTACGCTGCATTAAAAGAGGCATAGCGTTGCATCTCTAATTTATACATTAAAAAGCTTATATATAGTATGCCTTAGCGTCTACAGGCTAGACAGCGCGCGTGGGGGTATTAAATAAAATATTAAGTATATTACAATACTAAAACTTTAAAAACTAGTTTAATTAACTATATAGTTACTAAGTTGTTGCTTGCTAATAATTGCGCTTAAAATGTTCTAACCTTGTGTTAGAGGCTTAGCGAACCAAACTTTTATCCTAGTACTGTAAAAAACATAAAAAGAAGAAGAATTTTATAAAAATTAGTAGAAAAAAGAATTAGCCTCTTCTTAGTACTAGCTGCAGAAGAAGTAATAGTAACTGTAAAGCTATTAAAATAAATTAAGATCTATAATAAATTTTATATCTTTTTAATTAAAAAAGCACCTGCTTATATACTCTTAGAAACGTAAAATCTAGATATAAGGTTAGAAAAAGAATATAAAGTAAAAACATAAAAAAATAAAAAGTTTTTAGTAAAATAGAAAGAATAGCCTACTTATACAAACACTTAGAAACTTATTAAAAATTTAAAGAATACTCTACATAGTCTATAGAAGTTCTAGAATAGTTACTCTAAGAGTGTAACAATTCTCATGAATCGTTCCATCTTAGGTCGCCTGGAACCTCCAGAAGACCCTCGTATCGGCCCCGACCTCGACCTGGCCCCAACTCTGCCCGGCCCCCTGCTGTACCCCTATTCCTCTATGTATTTAGTTGCACCTTGCACCTGTAGCTAGCTTAGTAGTTTTCTAATATCCTTTTATACAAGGCCTATAGGTGTTAATAGCATTCCTAGGTTCTAAGTCCCTACGCACTTCTATATGCCTCTAAGTAGATTCCTACTACATTTAGCCCTATTGTCTTGCCTATACTGTTATATTATATTAAAAAACTTACTTTTACTAGTTACAGCCTTATTATAATATTATACTAATTATTTATTTAACTATGTCTAAGCTCTAAAACGTGTCTAATTTAGTTTAAGTTATAATACTTATATACTATTATATTAAACTATTTAGTTTATAGACTAGATTCTATTAACCTTTAGTTAACTAAAGCCTTTAAGTTTAGAACTTTTTATTCTTTATAATTAGAATTACTTTTAGAAAAGTTATAAAAAAGCACTAAAGTAAAAACTTAAAGACTACTAATAACTTATTAGAATTAGAGATAACTACTAATGTTTAACTAACTACTCTTTAACTCTAGAGTTAAATACGCTTTTGCTAAGCTATACTCTACTTAATTTAGAGTTAATCTATAGTAATATATTCTAATAGACTTTAATTAACTACTAAATTACTTTTAATAATGCCTTAAATTACCTCTACTACTTTAATAGTAAGAGACCTTTAAGGCACCTTTAACAACACTTAAATGCTACTACACTAAACACACACCTAAGCTTAATAACTGCATAGATAGTAATAAACAAAAGTTTTAATTATTAACAGGCTAGACATCTATATAGATTAATATTAGAGTAGGCGCGCACGCATAGCGTTTAGTTTAGAGGACACTGCTAGCAGTGTAAAGAAATACTTAGTAAAGACACCTAGCTAAATTAGACTAGTTTTAGTTTAAAAAGGTAAAGGATATAACAGCAATACTTTATACTATAATTACTACTAATAAGGACTATTAGTTTATAGAAGAGGGAGTAGTGTAATAATTCTTATAAATTATTCTATCTTAGGTTGCCTAGAACCTCTAGAAGACCCTTATATTAGCCCTAACCTTAACCTAGCCTTAACTCTGCCTAGCCCTCTGCTGTACCCCTATTCCTCTATGTATTTAGTTGCACTTTGCACTTGTAGCTAGCTTAGTAGTTTTCTAATATCCTTTTGTACAAGGCCTATAGGTGTTAATGGCATTCCCAGGTTCCAAGTCCCCACGCACTCCCATATGCCTCTGAGTGGATTCCCACCGCATTCGGACCCATTGTCTTGCCTGTGCCGTTACAAAGAGGACTAACTAGAGCTTAAAGAACTAAACAGAGCACTATTAAATAGCAGCAATATAGAAAACAGAGTAGTAGAAGCTAGTAGATTAGCAAGGGCTAAAGCCTTAGTTGTAACGATTCTCATGAATCGTTCCACCTCGGGTGGCCCGGAACCTATCCGGAAGGTCCTTGTATCGGCTCCGACCCCGACCTGGCCCTGCCCCTTGCTACTCCTGGAAGTTATCAACAGGAGCCTCCTTCTCCACACTCTTCCAAATCGCCTCAATCCTCTGCACCGCCTTCTCACTCAACCCTCCCTTCGCCAACCACGCCGTCGTCTCCTCCACCTGCTTAATCTTGCTCGCCCCAAAGATGACTGCATCGCCCAGCCCCTCCTTGAGCGCAGAGTTGTACCCAACCCACCGATACGCCAACTCCGCCGTAGACACGCCCTCCTCTTGTGCAACCGCATTCCACTCGGCCAACGCATCCAAAAAACTTGGCCGATTGTACAGCCGACGATACAGACCGCCAATTGCCTCCGCACTAAACCTGCCGACCCCGTCTTCGATCTGCTTCCTCGTCTTGGTCAGGAATCCGCCTGCAATGGGACTATACGCATAAAACGCAAACCCGAGCTTCCTCAGCGTGGGGAAGAGTAACGTCTCCGCCTTCCTCGCCACAGGGTTATAATTCCCCTGATAAACACTCGGCACCACATACCCTTTGTCCTTGCAAATGTCGTACATTTTCTGCACCTCCTCGGCTGTAAAATTGCTGAGCCCGAAGCGCTTAAACTGGCCCTTTTTGTAGCACTCGTTTATCCCTTCTGCCGACTCTTCAAACTGTACGTCGCGAGACGGGGCGTGGATGTACACAATGTCAAATTGGGAGATCTTGCACTTGTTCAGGGAATCCTGGACAGCGGCGATGATGTCGTCCTTTTTAGCACAATCTTCTCCGAAGCCACCCAGCATTTTCGTGTCGATGGTAAAGGTTTCGTGACCGGGTGTTGCACCGATCATTTCCTCGGAGCCGGCGTAGAGACGAGCTGTGTCGATTGTTGTCACGCCGGCGGATTTGAGGATCGAGAAGACCTTTGTTAGGGCGTCTGGGTTGGAGAGTTCGCCCCAGGGGTTGAAGCCCCCGCCTCCCATTACGGCTTTAATTGGCATGATGGCGGTGGTTTTGTGTTTTGGGGTTTTGGATTGGAGGTTAGAGTTTGGTGCTGTAGTTAAAGAGCGAGTTGGGCGGAGGTTGTGGTGGGGTTGTGTAGTGGGGAAGCTCGAGATATCACTAGCTCTTCAGGACCGTATTCTTGGTCACGACTCCAATCTTAAAGTGGGCGTTCGTACCTTTTATACTAAGAGCTCTCTTTGCTAATCTGCACTCCGACTCATGCTAGGTTTATGTACATGTAAAACTCCTTATTGATCCTTCACCGGTGTTAATAATTAAGCCCACCAGCCCCATATCGCGAGCCTCCACTCGCACGAAAAGTCCCGCAGCATTTAGCCAGCAACTAGGGTCATTACTCAGCGGGGTGTCCTATGACGCCTGATAGCTAGGATGAGGCAGTCTAGTAATAACACGACCCGCCTCCTGAGATTTTCTTGTTCCACCCACGTGACCGTGGGCTTGAAGTCAAGCTCGGACCACATAAGTGGCGAAGTGGCAAAGTAGCAAGGTTGCCTATACTAGTTTTGCCAACATGAGTATGTCCCGAGAGTATCTAATTAGTTTGCCTCTTTCTTAACAGCAGAATAATTCCACATAACTGACTTATCATACTCTGGCAACGCCTCAATATCACACCCTAGAAGATTTCTGCTTAAGACAACTACTTTCTTTTTAGCCTCCTCCTCCGAAACGCGAACCCCACTGTTGTTCTGTTCCCAAGTCAACGCTTCAATGCTATGGCCGCCATCACTACTGTCACCCGGCTTCACATGAAGTATGTAGATGTCCCTGCTAAACATGACTCGAGTGACTGTAATAGACATGTTGCCGCTCCCACTCTGATCCGAGACCCAGATGCGCCATTTGTTATCTTGATTTCGAGGCTCAACGCCGGCTTTGAGCTTGGTGAGGTCAGCGTTGCTAATGCGTAGGGCCCATAGTGCTGTTCTAGGCTCCTTCATGGCATTTATGTGAGTTCCTTTAAACGTCAGCACTAATCGCGTGGGTTTCGCTAAACTGGGTACGTACTTCTGAGAGCTGTAGGAGCAAGGTTCGTTTAGATAAGATTATTTGTGATATAGTCTGCTTCTCTGCAAGCAAGGTAAGGTAGCTGTAGAGTTGAGCGACAGCTATATATATTTAAATTGATGTTGATTGTCTTCTAACTCATAAACACCTTCTGACGTAATATAGCGGAGACAAGTCACAATAATAAAGAAGCCTCATAGGCTATGAAATGTCCGCGCTGACGTAAGATTTCGGAAATCAACATCTTGGCGCGTACTTAGAAGCGTGTTTATTATCCAACTTTGCCCTATATTATTAAGTTAGTTTCTTACTCTCATTTCTCGTCCCTACCTGGTTCGGACTATCATTTAATCTTACAGCAACGAGCGCACGTGAATGACGTTAATTCCAAGGTACAGAGTGTAAGGCTTACATAAGGGGTAGTAGGTTTTTTTTACTGTTAGCAGGACAGTAAGAGTGACTAGGGCCCTACACATTATCTTAATTTTATTACATTAATCAAATAGTAGTACAATAGCCATCTATTAACGCTATAGGCAGTATAACCTAAGATAGAATAAGGACATATAAGCAGCTTAAGATAATCTTATAGCTGTTAACATACACAAGAGGCAAGTTACTTGCACACCTAAGTTACTTACTTTTACTAAGACCCTACTAAACTACTTTTCTTATACTAATGCATTTCTAATAACACTACTTAAATGTGCTAAAAAAATGTTAAATATAGCTTACACTTTAGGCTTTTAAATAAAATGTAACACTTTTAAAGTAATATACTATAGCTACATATAAAGTTTTTTAAAAAATAATAAATAACTAACACACTAAATAACTTTTATAAGCTAATTTTATAGCTAACTTATAAAAGCTAAATAATAATAAAAAGTAAGTAATTATTAAGTATATACTTAAGCTATATATATAAGAATTTTTCTCTTAGCTAGTAACTATAGCTAATATAGCTAATTCTTTACACTCTAAGCATAATCTAAGTTATATTAGCATAAACTAGCCTAGTATATTTATAAAGTGTTATTTAAAGCTTAAAGTAAAGTTTTAAGTGTAGGTATAGTTAGTAAATATCTAGCTTATTATAAAGCCTATTTTATTAAAGTTATATAATGTACTTTACAAGCAAGTTGCTTACACACCTAAGTTGCTTACTTTTATTAAGACTTTACTAAACTACTTTTTTTATACTAATGCATTTCTAATAACACTACTTAAACACGCTAAAAAACATTAGATATAGCTTATACTTTAGACTTTTAAATAAAATGTAACACTTTTAAAGTAATATGCTACAGCTATGTATAAAGTCTTTTAAAAAATAATAAATAACTAATATACTAAATAACTTTTATAAGCTAATTTTATAGCTAACTAATAAAAGCTAAGTAATAATAAAAAGTAAGTAATTATTAAGCATATACTTAAGCTATATACATAAACATTTTTCTTTTAGCTAGTAGCTATAGCTAGTGTAGCTAATTTTTTACGCGCTAAGTATAATCTAGGCTATATTAGCATAATCTAGGTTAGTATGTTTATAAAGTGTTATTTAAAGCTTAAAGTAAAGTTTAAGTGTAAGTATAACTATAAAAAAGCTTTTTATAAATTTTTTAAAGTAATTTAAAACTAGTTTAGCCTTAAAACAAATATTAAAGCTAAGTATAGTATTTAAAATAATAACATATATAACTTTAATAAAATAAGCTTTATAATAAGCTAAATATCTACTAACTATACTTATACTTAAAACTTTACTTTAAGCTTTAGATAACACTTTATAAACATTCTAAGCTAGTTTATGCTAATATAGCCTAGATTATACTTAGCGTGTAAAAAATTAGCTATATTAGCTACATCTACTAGCTAAGAAAAAAATCTTTATATATATAGCTTAAGTATATGCTTAATACTTACTTACTTTTTATTATTACTTAGCCTTTATAAGTTAGCTATAAAATTAGCTTATAAAAATTATTTAGTGTATTAGTTATTTATTATTTTTTAAAAAACTTTATCTATAGCTATAGTATATTACTTTAAAAGTGTTATATTTTATTTAAAAGCCTAAAGTATAAGCTGTATCTAATATTCTTTTAGCATATTTAAGTAGTGTTGTTAGAAATACATTAGTGTAGAAAAAGTAGTTTAGTAGAGTCTTAGTAAAAGTAAGAAACTTAGGTGTTTAAGCAACTTGCCTATAAAGTACGTTATATTGTTATCTTAGATGCTATACCTAGCTTTAATATTCTTTATAAAGCTAAACTAGCTTTAAATTACTTTAAAATTCTTATAAAAAGCTTTTTTATAGTTATACTTAAACTTAAACTTTACTTTAAGCTTTAGGTAGCGCTTAATAAACATATTAGGCTAGTTTATGCTAATATAGCCTATATTATGCTTAGCGCGCAAAGAATTAGCTATATTAGCTATAGCTGCTAGCTAGGGGGGAAATTCTTGCGCATCTAGCTTAAGTATGTGCTAAATAATTACCTGCTTCTTATTATTATCTAGCTTCTATAAGTTAGCTATATAATTAGCTTAGAAAAGTTGTCTAGCGTGTTAGTTGCTTATTATCGTTTAAAAGACTTTATAAATAGCTGCAGCGTGTAACGATTCTCGTTCCATCTCGGGTCGTCCAGAACCTATCCGAAGGGTCCCCGTATCGGCTCTGACCCTGACTTGATTCTCATGAATCGTCTTAGGTCGCCCAGAACCTCCGGAAGGCCCTTGTATCGGCCCCGACCTCGACCTGGCCCCGACCTCGACCTGGCCCCGACTCTGCCCTGCCCCCTGCTGTACCCCTATTCCTTCATGTATTTAGTCGCACCTCGCCCCTGTAGCTAGCTCAGTAGTTTTCTGATATCCTTTTGTACAAGGCCTATAGGTGTCAATGGCATTCCCAGGTTCAGAGTCCCCACGCACTCCCATATGCCTCTGAGTGGATTCCCTCCGCATTCAGACCCATTGTCTTGCCTGCGCTGTTACACAGCGTGTTGTTTAGAAAGTGTTGCATTCTATTTAAAAGCCTAAAGTGTAAGCTACATCTAATGTTCCTTTAACATGTCTAAGTAGTGTTGTTAAGAATGCATTAGTGTAGAGAAAGTAGTGTAGTAGAGTCTTAGCAAAAGTAAGCAACTTAGGTGTGTAAGCAACTTGCCTGTGAAGTACATTACATGCTTTTTAGTTACTTTTTAATCTAAGCAATTTCTTTATTTATTAGTAGGTTATAAAGCTTCTTATTTATATGTTCTTTAATTATGTACTTAAGGCGTTTATAATGTATTAGCTTTTATAAGTGCTGTATGTTTAAATAGTAGAGATAAGAATGCTTTTTATTTAATTTTATTTTAAAAGTTATGTACACTTCTAGGCCTTTCTTCTTGTTCTGTATAAGCTAAGAGAACTAACTAGTGTACTGCTTAAGTGTAAGAGTATTAGTAGTAGCGCCTAGTTAAGCTAGAGAGTCTAGCTTATATTAAGCCTACTTATAGTTATATTTAGTAGCTAAGTAAAAAAAGTTCTTAATAAAAAGCGCGCTTTTAATGTCTTTAAAATTAATAAGCTTTATGTTAGCATAAGCCTATGTCTATTTAAGTAGCTAGTATGCTAGTAACTAATTCTCTTTTAATACTAGGTGTAAGGTAACTTTTTAATAAGTTATTTATACCTACTTTTTCTAGTTATTATTACTTAAGTAAAAGTTTTTTTAAGCTTTTTAATAAGCGTGTAGAGTAACTAATTACTTACTTATAAAGTTGCTAGCTTAAGCAGTTAAAAGTCTACTGTTATATACACCTAGTTCTACAGCACCTAGAGCCTTAAGAAGAGCTGCGGGTATATTAATGCCTTAATTTAATAAAGGTAAAGAGCTTCTAAGTTAGCTATATTAAGATTAGGGATTACAGGTGCTTTACTTATTAGATTAGGCTATAGTAGTGCGTCTAGGTTAATTTAGTCCTATATGCCTTAAGCTTGCGCAAGGTATTTAAGCTGCGTGTACTATAGTTAAAATGTGTAGTAATTAATAAGTTAAACACTTATTAAAAGTGTAGTAACATCTACTAGTTAATCTATAGCTTTAGTAAAGAGAAAGAGACAATAAAAGTAAATAATAAGAAGTAAGAAATAGACAAGTGCTTTAATTAACATAACACAGAAGAATTTACACTAACTAGGCTTATAACTGTTACAACTGCTAATTAGAGAGAAATAAGAAGTAAGTCTATTAACTATAAGAGGCTTATAGAGAGCCTGCCTATGTAGTGGGAGCTCCGGCGCCAAGTGTCTCAGGCTGCTCGTCCGAAACACAGGCGCGACACTAGGACCATGTGCTCTCTTACGCGACAGTAAGCTATAAAAGTTTATTTCTAAGTTATAAAGTAAAGTTAAGTATAAAAGAAGAAGTTAAAAGCAGATTAAGTAATAAGTAAGCATAAGTAAAATTAGATAAAGACTATTAAAGCTTATGTCACGGTTATGTTACAGCTATCCAACCCCTGAGTACCCTAAGGGCTTGGCACGGGGTATATAGGCTCCTCGGCCTCTGTACCTCTGCCTCCGACCCTAAGGTTTACTCTCGTTACCCCCCTATCCTGCATTCTCTCTCTGTAACCTGTGTTTCCTGCTTGATACCTCTCACAGCTTATTAGCACTCCTTTACACTAAAATACATTAGAGTAGCTTAGAATATACTTACTTTAAAAAGTTGTAGAGGATAAAATAGCCTAGCAGTAGCTGTTTAGAAGATCAGATGAAGTGACTCTGCTATGTAAGAGAGTTGAAGGCTCTCCTTATATACACCAAGCTTCGGAACATACTATCTCCAGATCCCGAACCGCGTCCCAGGCTCTAAGCCCCAGCTAAGGCTCTTAGTGTACGCGACAAAAGTTTAAAATCTTCTAAATTCTAACCTATTAAAAAAAGTAAAAGTGTAAAAGAGATAGACTTTTAAAATAGTTAGACCTTATATATACTATCCTAACTACTACTCTAGCAGTGTAAGATATAATGCTATTTTACTTTTACTTAATAACTTTAGGTTAT